GGATTCCTGAATCCGTGCGGGAACATATGAGGAAAGAAATTGAAGAGATGTTGCAGTTAGGGGTTATTGAACACTCAGATAGCCCCTGGGCATCGCCGGTAGTCCTGGTTCCCAAGAAAGACGGTACCACTCGGTTCTGCGTGGACTACCGGAGGTTGAACGACAAAACCGTGTCGGACGCCTACCCGATGCCTCGGATAGACGAGCTGCTAGATAGGATGGCCCCGGGTCAGTATCTCACTACAATAGATCTTTGTAAGGGATACTGGCAAATTCCACTAGCCGAGGACGCCATTCCCAAGTCGGCGTTTGTCACCCCGTTTGGCTTGTACCAATTTTGAGTCATGCCATTCGGGATGAAAAACACCCCCGCGACCTTTCAGCGGATGGTGGATCGGCTACTGGACGGGTTCCAGGATTATGCGTGTGCATACCTGGATGATATTGCCATCTACAGTCAGACCTGGTCGGATCACTTACAGCATATAGGGGCTGTAATAGATCGGATCCGGGAGGCAGGGCTTACCTTGAAACCCAGTAAATGCCATATAGGGATGGCCGAGGTCCAGTATTTAGGGCACCGGGTTGGTAGCGGGCAACAGAAGCCCGAGCCCGCAAAGATTGACGCTGTAGCCCAGTGGCCCACCCCTAGGACCAAAACCCAAGTTCTTGCTTTCCTGGGTACCGCAGGGTATTACAGAAAATTTGTGCCCAACTACAGTGCCCTGGCCAAACCCCTGACTGATTTGACGAAGAAAAACCTGCCCCGGCAGGTCGTCTGGGCCCCAGAGTGTGAACAGGCATTCAACCAGCTGAAGACGGCTCTGACCAATGCCCCTGTACTGGCTGCTCCTGATCCAACTAAACGTTTTCTTGTTCACACAGACGCCTCAATGTTTGGATTGGGAGCAGTACTGAGCCAGGTCGGAGCCGATGGCGGAGAACACCCCGTAGCATACTTGAGTCGGAAACTGTTACCCCGAGAGGTGAGCTACGCCGCCATAGAAAAAGAATGCCTGGCCGTGGTGTGGGCCCTGAAAAAGTTACAGCCATATCTCTATGGGCAACCCTTTTCTTTGCTCACAGATCACAACCCGTTGGTGTGGCTAAACCGTGTGGCTGGAGACAATGCCAGGCTGCTGCGCTGGAGTTTGGCGCTGCAGCCCTTTGACTTTACGATACACTACCGCCCAGGGAAACAAAACGGTAATGCCGACGGGTTGTCCAGACAAACAGACCTTGAGAAGTGATCTGTGAGCACTCCCCCGGACATCCCCAAGCCGATCCGTTGGGATCAGACTGTGTATGCCGGCTTGGTTCTGGGGGAGCATTGTGGCAAACCTAGCCACTTGAACTATAACTAGAGACTGTGCCTTTAAGGGTTGCCTACAGGTCTGGGGAGATATGCGCTTTATTGTTATGTATGTGCTTAATGTATTTTCTGCAGTGACTGTAACTATCTGTTTCGCCGAATGCAAATGGCGGTTTGTATGGGGATTCCCGTTCGTTTCATGAACGGCACTTTGGAGAGCCGTTCGTGAACTGAACGCGATACCCCCTAATAACATTGTTGCAATCGGTTATTAGAGGCTCTCCTGGGTGGCCGTCGTTCGACTACCGACCATGCGGCGGTCGGCCATCTTGGATCCTTTGTTCCTCAGCGGGTACGAGTTGTCGAACGCATAGTATTACCAATAGCTATTCGACGGCACGAACACCGCTGAGCCTCCGGGACGTTCGGGAGTTTCAGGACCGTGTTCACTAAAAGTAATCGGTTCTTTTCGTATGTTTTAAAAGAAATGTGTTTTCTGTGCGGCGTTCGGTTATTTTAGCTGGGATCTGAGCGGCAATCTCACGAATGATGCGCCCAGACCCCAGCTATCTACCAAACGTCCATTCGTGTAAATCCACCGTGTATTTTAAAAGTTATAGATTTTTGTGTGAATTGCCGGTTCTGCTGCACCAGGGGATAATCCCCTTAACGGTGCATTCTGGGAGGATGATCCCTCTCGTGCAGCAGTGCCTGATGGGAGAAATATGTTGGCATGTAAGTCCCCCATGTAGTCCCCTCTGGGAGGGCCCCTGGGAAGGGACTCAGGAAACCTCTTGCATGGGGACTTGTATAAATTGTCTTGCCGATTAAAAGGATTTCAGTTGACTCCCAAAACTGTGTCTCGTCCGGTTATTGGGAGGTTGGGGATATTGCCTTGTTGTTTTCAGCGCTTGACTGTGGATTCGTTTATGGACCAGCGGAATTCGTGGATTTATTATTGGCGTTCCGCTACAGTTTCAGAACACACAGTGCATTGCCGTTTTTGAGTATGGTGCTGTGTAGTCACAGACCGGTCAAAATGTCCATGATGACCCCTATCCACCACCAAAAGTGCCTTTAATGGAGACATGAGTTTCAGAACTGGACCCGGAGCAATGGAAGAAGGTTGCCTGCTCTAAAGAAACATGTTTTCTGTTAGATCAGGTGGATGGTTGGGTGAGTGTGCATAGTTTACTTGGGGAAGAGATGGCAGCAGGATGCAGTATGGGAAGAGGGCATGCTGGTGGAGACAGTGTAAGGCTATTGGAAATGTTCTGCTGGACCTTGTGGATGTTACTTTGACATGTTGCACCTATGTAGAGATTATTTCAGACTACGTACATCCCTTCATGGAAATGGTGTTCCCTGATGACAGTGGCCTGTTTCAGCAGGATAATGCACACTGCCACAGTGCAGAAATTGTTCAGTAATTGTTTGAGGAACATTAGAAAAAAATCAAGGTGTTGCCTTGGACTTCAAATTCCCCAGGTCTCAATCCAATAGAGCATTTGTGGGTTGTGCTGGAACAACAAACTCAATCCAATCTATTGCATACTGGGAGGCCCAATCTTGCAAATTGCGCTTAAATGATATGCTGCTAATTTCTTGGTGCCAGATACCACACGACAGGTTCAGAGGTCTTGTGGAGTCCATGATTCGACGCATCAGAACTGTTTTCTACATGATTTTAGGCAGGTGGTTTTAATGTTGTGACTCATCAGTGTATATGTGCAAAGAGGTAGTACACAGTTCAAATCTCTACCTTCTTTGACCTTTCTATAAAAGTGCCTGAGCCATGACTGGGCAGGGCCAGCCTGTCCTTTGGCAGCAGTGAGGCCACGGCTCCAAGCGGCACTTTTCCAGGGGCGGCATTTTGCCGCCCCTGTACACTGTAAAATGACTGCTGTGGAGCCTGGATCGCCTATGCATATATGTATAGCGATTACCGCTACATATATATGCATTTCTGGGCCCCCACCACCTTGTCCTGTGGAGAGGGGGCCCAGAAGTCTTATGTTCCCCTCCTGCAGCTTCCTGACATCTCCTTTCGTAACACCACAAGTGCATTGCTGCGGGTTGCCATGGCAACGCTCAGGCGTTCATTGCATGCCGCATGGAGTGTTGACATAGCAACCCGTGGCAACACTCACTCGGCTCGTGAGAAGAAATGGCAGAAAGCTGCAGGAAGGAAACATCAGACATATGGGCACCCTCTCCACAGGACACAGCAAAATGTGCCACTGGACCCCCATGGAAACTACTCTCCCCCTCCCTGGCCACAGGTAAGAGGTAGGGAAGGGGGAATATACTAGGAATACACTAAATCATACTTTAAAAAAATAATCACCCCTCACAAGACACTGCATCCACTTCACACACTACACACAGACACTGCATACACTACATGCACTACACACATACATTACATACACTACACACAGACAGTACATGCACTACACACAGACACTACATACACTACATGCACTGCACACAAACAATACATACACTACATGTACTACACAAAGACACTGCACACACTACATGCACTACATGCAGTACACACAGACACTGCATTCACTAAGCACACTACATGCACTACACACAGACACTGCATCCACTACATGCACTACACAAATACACTGTATTCACTACACACACTACATGCACTACACACAGAAATTGCATCCACTACCTGCACTACATGCACTACACACAGACACTGCATCCACTACATGCACTACACACTGACACTATACACTACATGCAGCCAGTACACTTTACACAATACACAAACACAGACACTGCACACACTACACTGCTTCAACTACACAAACATAGACAATACACACACTAGACAGACACTGCACAAACACTGACACTGCACCCACTACACAATAAATACAGTAAATCATACAGACACTACATCCAATTCACACACTACATGTATCCAGTACACTTTACACAATGCACAAACACAGACATTGCACACACTACATTGTTTCAACTACAAAAACACAGACAATGCACCCACTACACAGACACTGCAACCACTACACAAACACTGACACTGCACCCACTACACAATATTCACTAAAAAGAAACTGCATGCACTACACTGCATCCACTACACACACACACACACACACTGTATCCACTATACACATGCATATAATGCATTCACTATACACACTGCATACAATACACACACTGCATCTCCTTGATGTGCGTGAGGTTTGGAGGGGTAGGGGGTGGGGGTGGCATCATTTTATCCTTTGATCCACGCAGCACAATGTCTTGAGCCGGCCCTGTGACTGGGTCATACTTCGAGGTGAGAATGAGTGATCACTGTGCACACCTCTATTTTCAAAACTGTGAATGAAGCTTTGCACAAGCTAATAGTAAGCTCAGTGTAGCTACTGCTAAGAATGTGACCATCAATTCCACTGTTCAGTTCAAAATATGGAAACCAGGCAAATGCAGGAAATGTAAAGGTTTTTTTTTTTTTTCCTGGCACTTTAAAACAACACCACTTAAGTATAATTTTTTAGAAATATAGTGCAACCTTTAGTATGGCATATTAATATTCAACTGCTATCATTTCGTTATTTCCAATAAGTCTACTCTCACTTTATATGCTGTGTATTTTATATATTTTGCAAAAAGTTAAAGATTTCTACAGAACCAGAAGATGTGGGTGTTGTGGTGCTTTTTTTGGTTTCCCATCTTACATACTGGACATCCTAGCCCTGCAGTTATTATGCGAGTGTCTCAGAAATGGTTAGATTATGGTGAGTTTCAATACACAAATACATCTAATGTTAGTCTATTTTAATGGAGCAATAGCAAATGTAAGTGTTTTTCGTTGGGCAAATTATTTTCATTTTTGTATTCACAGTTCAGTCTGAAGGAAAAGAGGTTCTCCGCAACATGCTCCTGAAAGAACCTCTTCCAAACATTACTGGCTCTACACAAATGTTTGGTAAAGTTAATTACACAATCACAGGGTGAGCAACTATATGTCAAAATGCAGCTATGGGTGTTACTTCTTAGAACGAAAGATAAATGCCAATTTATCATACTTTATCTTCTCTAGGGTACTCATTGAGGAGTTTGACATCTCTCACATCAATTCTGCCCCAATTCCACCAGCTGATGTCCAAGTTATTGTTGAAGATGCCAAAGCCAAGGTTTATGGGCAGTGGAAAGTAAAACACTGGCTTATGTAAGACTTTAGCTTCACTGCCTACAAAAGTTATTTTCTATATGCCCATTTTTAGTGCAAAGGAGTCTCTGGAACAGGTATATGTAGCAGGAGAATCATTTGTCACTCATCTAATGTTTCAGTTGTAGAAAATATCAAGTTAAAGGGACACTATAGTCACCCAAACCTCAATGAAGTGGTCTGGGTGCCAGGTCCCTCAGGTTTTACCTCTTCAGATGTAAATATAGCAGTTTCAGAGAAACTGCTATGTTTACATTAGGGGTTAAGCCAACCTCTAGTGGCTGTCTTCTAGACAGCCGCTAGAGGGGCATCTGCAATGCTGGATGCTAATTTTGCATCCATCGCGCATAGCGTTTATAGGAAAACATTGAGAAATGCTTTCCTATGGACTATTTGAATGCGCGCACGGCACTTGCCGTGCATGCGCATTCTGCTCCCCTTGGGAGCTGATGTCAGCGGGGGAGGAGTGGTCACCAGCGCCGAGGGAGCCCGGCGCTGGATAAAGGTAAGCTGCTGAAGGGGGTTTAACCCCTTCAGCGTCACGGGAGGGGGGACCCTGTGGGTGGGGGCACCTTTAGGGCACTATAGTGTCAGGAAAACCACTTTGTTTTCCTGACACTATAGTGATCCATTAACACCTTCTACATAATGTCGGCCAATTGGACTGAAAGGCTAAGATCGACCTGCAGAAATATATCTGACATAGGGTACATTATGGTGAAGCCAATAGGAAATTATTTTACAAGTTTTGGATTTTTTTTATGTTCTTTCTCTTGCAGTTATTTAGTTATTTACCTTGCCAGTAAACTTTGAGAATTAAGGGGAAGAAAATATTATCTGTCAGGGGTAGTCATTAATGTGATAATTGCCAGGAATTCAAGCAAAAATTTTTAATTTAAGGCCAGAGTATTTGAACTGGAAGCATAGCTTATTTGGAGAATTTTCCAATTTACAAAGCTATTCTGGCTTTATATATGAAATTTACTTTGAAACATTTGTTTATCTTTTTATAACATTGTTTTTGCAGAAATGACAGTGGCAGTTTTAATCTCTTGCTTTCTGGAGTTTACCTAACTGCACAGGTGAATACTTTTAAAGACCCTTCAGGTCGCCCGTCCGTGCTTCTTTCGGCTTGTCAATCTGTCGTGAAAAATGCTAAACTCCATTTGAGTGGGGGTGCCAGGTAAATTAATAATTCCCTTTACGGTTTTACTATTTGTTTGCAAATATTGTTACCTACCCCTTCACTACCAAAATTGTCTATTCATAATTTTTGGAAATATTGCTGAAACCTATACATGATGTAAACATGATTGACATATGTGGCAAACCTAGCCACTTGGACATTATTTCTGTACTGTCTCTTTAAGGGTTGCCGTTATGGGGTTCCTATTGTGTGTTCCAGCATGTACTGTAATGCAATGTTAATAATGTATTGCCTGCCTGGGCTATCTGCCGAATGCAGATAGATGATTTCATTCGTTTCACGAACGGCACCTTTGCGGGCCGTTCGGGAACCGAACAAAATATCATTTAATAGCCCACACACTTAGAGGCGTGTGGCACCTATTAACCGATTGCAACAATGTTGCAATCGGTAATTTGAGGCTCTCCTGGGTGGCCGTCGTTCGACTACCGACTATGCGGCGGTCGGCCATCTTGGATCCTTTGTTCCCTCAGCGGTGTTTGGTCGTCGAGCGTGTGGTACTAAAAACGGCTACTCGACGGCGCGAACACCGCTGAGCCTCCAGACCGTTCGGGAGGTCCGGGACATTCGGTATTTTGTTCCCTTATATGTAATCGGTATTTTAAGGCTATGTGTTAGTGAATGTGTTTTTCGTGTGGCGTTCGGTTGTTTTAGCTGGGATCTGAGCGGTAATCTCACGAATGATGCGCTCAGACCCCAGCTATCTACCGAACGTCCATTCGTTTAAATGAACCAGATATTCATGGAGTTATTGAATTTAATGTGAATTGTGAGTTCTGCTGCACGGAGGGATAATCCACTTAACGGTATATTCCAGTGGGAGGATCCCTCTTGTGCAGCAGTGCCTGATGGGAGAAATGTCCTGTATTGTAAGTCCCCCATGTAGTCCCCTCTGGGAATGCCCCTGGGAGGGGACTCAGGAAACCCCTTGCATGGGGACTTGTATAAATTGTGGAGCTGAATTCTAAGACCTCAGTTGACTCCCAGCCTATGTGTCGTCTAGTTCTTGGGAAGGAAGGGTTACTGCAGAGCTGTTGGATTATTGTATGCTGATTCCCCTGGATTATCCTTTGTTGTTCCTGTTACCCAGCGGAGATATCGTGGATTATACTGGATTATACTAAAATTATTTATTTTGTTAAAAAATATCTCCTTCCTGTACTTAGCATAACTGCATAATGTACCATGCTGCCGGCATAGGCTCAGGAAGCAGTACTTTTTTTAGAATCTTCTGCTCAATTGTTCTCGATAAATTAGATTGGATAGATTAGATAGCTAGATTATATATAAAAAACAGATTATATATATAAAACAGATAGATTAGCTAGGTTAGATAGACAGTACAGACATTTAGATAATATTAAAGACTGGAGATCATACTTACAGTGCTGTGTTTATGTGTTACTGGTTGTTTTATTGGATCAATCCATTACTGTACCCTTACTTAGACTAACCATGTCCTAATCACCAGAACACCCATTTAACTACAACGTGAGGATGTCTAGTATCCTAGATCTGGTCCTCCGTTAACTAAACAGAAAAATGTGTCATAAAGTAAAAATATATATATATATATATAATCTATAGATAGAAAGGGCGCACTCTCCGGTCTTTTTAGATATTACAAAATGATTTATTTCGTTACATAGTGTAACATATTATTCGACGTTTCGACCCGTTCGGGTCTTCCTCAAGGTATATATATGATACCTTAGAGTAAACAAAAATAACATTCCTCACTGGCCTCTCTGCACCTTTTTAAAATTCTGAGCTCTGATACATTTTAGTCTGTATTGTAGATTAAACGCATCCTCTATGATTCCATATTCAATAAATATGTGCTTTTTGATCCAATATCATTGTGCTTACACCCCAGTGCAAACACATGTCTATAGCAAGGTTGGAATTCTGGATTGCTGGAAAGTTAGCGTGCTGATTTTATCCCACTTTTACTTTTTTGGCAGCCACTTTCACCCATCTTTGCAAGTTTAATACTAGTCTATGTCATAAATTAAAAATGTCAAAATCATTCTAGGTTTTTTAAATTGAGAACTTTATTTATTCGTAACAAATAGACTTTTCAACAATGGAATGTAGAAAGTTTAGCACTATAACTGCCAGTTTTAGTTTTCCATGCTGATCATTTCTCCTGTGCCTTTTCAGCTGGTTCTACAACCTTTTCACTGGGTTTTTAGAAGAGCCAATCAAACATAACGTAAATGAAAAGGTAGGCATTCAAGTTATATAAAAGCATTAATACCACAACAAAATGTAAATGAAATGATTTATCCTGTGAACAAATGTTCTATCAATTAGTGACAAATACACTCAATGGCTATTAGTATTAAAGGGACTCTCCAGTGCCAGGAAAACAAATCTTTTTTCCTGGCACTGTAGAATCCAGCAGTGCCCCCCTCCCTTCCACCCCCCACCCAATGTTGCTGAAGGGGTTAAAACCCCTTCAGTGACTTACCAGAATCCAGTGGCGATTTCCCTCTGTGCTGGGTCAGGCTCCGCCTACTCTCCTCCACCGCCGACGTCAGCCGGTGGGGGAGAGCTAATGCACACGGCCATTAGACCTCCCCATATGAAAAAAGCATTATTCAATGCTTTCCTATGGGTATTCCGGCGATGCTGGAGGCCCTCATGCACAGCGTGAGGACGTCCAGTGTAGTTTAAGAAAACAGAAGTCCCTCTAGTGGCTGTCTGTTGGACAGCCACTAGAGGAGGACTTAACCCCATAACGTAATTATTGCAGTTTATAAAAACTGCAATAATTACATTCTCAGGGATAAGGGTGATGGGAGTTGGTACCCAAACCACTTCAATGGGCAGAAGTGGTCTGTGTGCCCGGAGTTTCCCTTTAACTACAGCTATCTAGTACTTGGTAAGATCATTTGAATCCAGACTGAAAATGTTGTAGAATGGTTTAAAGGCACTCTGTGGCATTTAAACACTACTCAATCGCCGTTAAAGGACCACTATAGTTCCAGAAAAACATGCTCGTCCCACTCCCGCCGGGCTCTAGTTGGTAGAAGGGGTTAAATTTACCTCTTTCTCCAGCGCCGGGTGGGGGACTTTCCTCCTCCTCTCCTTCTTGTCGTCATCGGCTGAATGTACATGTGCGGCAAGAGCTGCGAACGCATTCAGCCAGTCTCATAGGAAAGCATTATCATTGCTTTCCTATGGACGCTGGCGTCTTCTCACTGTGAAAATCACAGTGAGAAGCGCATAAGCGCCTCTAGCGGCTGTCAATGAGACAGCCACTAGAGGCTGAATTAACCCTATTATAAACATAGCAGTTTCTCTGAAACTGCTGTGTTTATAGAAGAAAGGGTTAATCCTAGCTGGACTTTGGATCATTGAGCTGAAGTGGTCTGGGTGCCTATAGTGATCCTTTAAGCCTGATTGACTGACACAAAAAAGGATCAATTCATGGAGTCATGTTTATGCTAGGTTCTTACCAGATTAATTGCATTTTGATTTGTCAGACCATACATTTTTTCCACTTTTCAGGAAGCCATTGATTTGTTGATTTCATGTGCACTGTATACTAATCTTCCTGTTAATTTGAAATGAGCAGGAGTAGAAACATATGTGGTTCTGCTGTCTTGTCAAAGTTTGATACAAACAGCCAGTGGCGTACACATGACCCATGGGGCTCCGGTGCGAAAATTGATCCGTGGGCCCCCCCCCGCGCACGGGCCAGGCCGCAACACATGGCGGTGGGCACCTGGTCGCAGGGGTTACAGGGCTGCGACCCCTGCGACCGCGGTATGTACGCCAGTGCATGCAGA